CCCCAAATCCCCCACCGAGCCTTTGCTTCCCTCCTCTCCGGGCCTTCCCCGTGCCCTGAGCCCCTTGGTCCCCCCTCCCTAGCCCCCACTTCTGGGCGCTTCCTGAAGCCCCTCACCGAGCCTGCTGCTCCCTCCGTGGCCTGCCTCTCTGGGCCTTCCCCATGACCCGCATTGTACCCCTTGCTCCCCCCTCTCTAGGCATTTCCCCTGGCCTGCACCGAGCCTGCTGGGCGTCTGTCTCAGCCCCCTATATCAGTCTGCTCCCCCCTCAGCCCCGATCTCTGGCCCTTGGCGCTATGCAGAATGGGGGTGTGCTGCGAGCAGCTTGGGGGTTCTGCTTTCCCCAGTCCCTGTGGTATTCACAGAATAATATTTATCACACTCCTAATTACCATGTTTCTGCTCACCAGCACGCAGTGATTTCTTTTAGCGGTCCGGTGCTTTGAGCTGATGGGTGAATTCAGCCATCTCCTCGCGTGTCTCCAGGGGGGCAGTCAGATTGCACCGGGTTATCCTCCCAACTGCTAGTTTCTTGCTACAGGTCTGAGGCTGACGGGAGGGAGGTGGAGAACTCTCCGCCTCAGTCCTCGCTGAGTGGCCAGAACAACAGCTAACCAGAGGGCCTCGGAGCACTTCTGAGGTCTGATAACCTGCAGGCATTTTTTGTGAGACAAATCGGCCTTCTAGCAGTTTATAAAGTGTTTATCTTTTGAGCAAAATCATAGTTACTGTAACAGTCATTTTTATGTCTCTTTTAATGAGGCTGAAAGTTACTACAGATACTGCTGCTTTTTTCCAGGCAGCTTCCCAGGAAGCAGCAAGAGTCAGTCTATATGTCTGCAATACCCAAGATAGCACTTGTTTTAACTCTATTTGTTTATTTATGCCTGCCTTTAAAGGCCTCAAGTTCATTCTCTTCTACACCATGATAGAAATGAAAGCTGTTAATTAATCCTGTAGGCTCACTCTCCCTCTGCTCAAGCATGTCATTGTAGTGGTTCAAAATAAATTCATTGCTGCCTCTGCCTTTCTAACGTGCTGGTGTGCTCAGTTCACAGGTTAGTTACCTACATCTTTGTCTACGAAGACCTGATATCCTTGACCTGTGGTGCCATTATCATCTGGTATTTTGCCGGCAGCTTTGAGAAGAACGTTGGCACTGTGAAGCACTGCTTCCTCACTTTTGTGTTTGCTGTTCTCTCTGCCCTCCTGTACCTCTTACTTGAGACTGTTGTCTCGAGGGTGTCAGAGGTGGAAGATGCTAAAGGATTCATGCCAATAGCTTTTGCTACATTGGGTGTGTCCACCACCCGCTCGCGGATGAAGAGGACACTGGTTTTTGGGGTTAGAGTTCCAGTGGTGCTGGTGCCATGGTTTATGCTCTGTGTAGCATCGTTTATCCCCCACTCTCCTCTCTTGAGTAACCTGTGTGGGCTCCTAGCTGGGGAAGCCTGTATCCTTTCCAAGTACAAAGCCCTGAACCAGGGTGGGATTGCTGGTTCACGAGCGGGAGGATGTGCTGTGGTTCTCATTGCTGAGATGCACTGGCGTTATGGGTTTTCCTGGGCTCTTGCTCTGCATTAAACTCTCACTGGCTTTGCTGGTCCTCATCACACCCAGTTCTGCATTTGTTTTTCACCTTGCACTTCCACTTCCTCTGTGGCTTTAGGGCACGCAGAGAACATGGAGCTGAGAAGGGCGATGGTCTGTGAAGATGGCACTGGGTAGAATTGGGAGAATTCTCCAGGGAAAGTGGTCTGTGGCCAGAGGGGGATTGCGTGTGGCTGTGTTAGAAATGAGTGTGTTTTGTTTGCAGTCCTTAACGTGCTGCTGACTTCAGATGGTCTTGGCTACTGTTTCTGTTTGGATTTTCCGGAGTCTGTGGGCTCTAAGCTGGACCGGGTGTTCCCGTTCAGCCTGCTAAAGAGGATACCAGGGCTGAAATATATCCCAGCGTCCTTAGCAGAGAGAAGAGCCTTTGAAAGCAGCAAGTAAGTACAGGAGTTCCTGTGAAAAATCTTATGATATAGGGGAATTTGGAGGCATAAGTGGAGGCATTAAATTGCCTTTAAAAGCTGTATTGTGCTTGTCGTGTTCATATCCTGGGTGTTAAGGGGAACGTACTGACCTACTGACGTTACATTGGTGACATTACTGTGACTAATATGTTGTCACATGTTAACTCAACCAGGTCTTTCAGTGAAAGCTAAACTGGGGTGAAAAAACTCTCATTTGCTGGAAGGTCAGTGTGTACACATGTGAAGGTATTGCAGCTCCGCTGACATGAAGGCTAAGTCGTGCAGTTCTGCCCTAACATTAGGACTTCTGGCACTTGTTCCTGGCTGTATTGCTCTCTGGGGCATGATCTTTATCTTTCTTAGCACCACTTTGCCTCCCAGGAATGCTGTGAAGTGAGTCATGTCCAAATCTATGTAGGAGCAGAGCATTATAAATTAAAGATGTCACTTATGAAGTTCAATGTAGACCTTTCAATGCATGTTTTCAGTGTCAAGGCAAGATTACTTTACCGAAAAGAAACCTTGGGGCCTGTGCCTGATGTTCAGGGATGGTTTTAAGTTTCTATATATTACAAGCCATGAGAACTCACTTGTATTCTAAAAAGCTTGGAAATCTAGGTAAAATTTTTCCTTGTTCTAAGATGTCATTTCAGTTTCACAGAGGAAGGATGGTTTTCTATTAAGGGTTAAATTCATTGTATTGTTTAAGCCATCAGCTCACTGGAAAGCATTCTTTGAAGTGGAAGCATTCCCAAGTGTTTGCATCTGCCCTCACCCATGACTAAAGCCTAAAAGAAACCCCTGCCTGCAGCAGGAGTGTACCCCAGGTCCATTAGGGCACTCAGAGGTGTGAGTGCTTGCAGGGGAGGCCAGGCAGATCCAACAGCATTTGTGTTTTTACTCTCTTCCTTCTGTGCAAGTGCTGTTTTTGGGAGGAGGAGCTGTCTTGCTGCATGCTGAGCCTGTGTCTGCATCAGTCTAATCCTTCTGCTAATAACTGTTGTGCACAGCGTCTCAGCTCTGTGTCTAAACCTGCTTTCTTTAGGTGAGATGACATATATAGACTGTTCTGCCTCAAAGGTATTTACATAAACATTTGACTATCAGGCAGGGCGTGGGAAGGTGTTTCTAGGATGTTTCCATTTCTGCAGCTAAGTTTGCATGTCTCTGTGTCTTAGGCACAAGTTCTATATGTGCTTCTGGGGCTTAAGTTTTATTACTTTGATTCTTATTCCCAAGTAAGAGCTCTTGATAGCTGGGGTTTTTTGGGTTTTGTTTTGTTTTTTTTTTTTTTTTTAAATTTTCATAAGACTTCAGGCATCAACTTGCCACCAGGCAGGAGATGTTTCTAGGAGGTCCAGGCTTTGACATCATGTTTGTGTCCACAAATAAAACAAAACCCAAACAAAAACCAAAACCAAACCCACACCCCACACAAAAAAAATGCCAAGCCTGAAAACCCCAGCATGAACCAGTCTCTTATTCTTGCTGGGAATCTGGTGGTCATGGTCTTCGTGAAAATTGTCTTGATTCTCAGCACTCGTCTTAGTGTTGTGCGTGGGCTGAGCAGTACTCCTGAAGTCCCAGAGGCTTTGGCTTCTAGGCAGATTGCCTCTCTCCTGATACGTTTTGGCGGGATGAGTCATGCCTTCTGTTGGCAAAGGCTGTTTCTAGACCTTGCTTCTGAATGATTAATTTTATTTGTAACTCTCTCCTCCTTCCCTTTTTGCTCTGTCCCCTGGGCTCTTACTCACGCCAAAGTCCTTTATAGCTTCTTGATAAATAACACTTGGCAGCTGTGACTTCTCCTGATTAATAACTTAGCAGATGTGTCATTCAGTGGAAGGCAGGGAGGATGCATACGGTAATCCTACAGCACATTGCAGTTTGGCTTACATATTCCCTGCACAAAGAGACTTGGGGCCAAGAACCTCACTCGTTCAGTGGGTGTGGAATTGGTGTGGGTTGGGAGTGGGAACGTCTGTCCTGGGAGAGCAGTAAACCTATTTTTCCTCAAGTGCTGCTTATAATAAGAGCTTCTCTTGTTGTAGTGAATCTCTCTGATGGATTGCAGTGACCTTTCTGAGCATTGGTCAGGAGGAAATCTACGCCCAGGGCATTTCCAGAGCTAATTATGCAATGGTAGTTCTGAGCACAGTGTAACCTTCTGTTTTCTTCCTGCCCAGGATTGACCCTGCACCAGGCACCTACCCTATCCAAAGCTACTACTGCTCTTCGCCTCTGGCTCTTCCTGCTTTCCAGATGCAGCACCCCAATGCTCAAAGCCAGGAGTTTCAACACAGCTGCGCTCCAGGATGTGGCCATGCTCTGGGACATGAGGGATCTGCGCATGGCCGTGCTGCAGGACACCGCCTCCCTTTTTCCCCCTACCAAGCCAGAGGTGCCTTCGGAGAGTGTCACGTGCAGGCCCACGCTGGAGCCTTGCCTGGACAGTGCTGCCAGCTGGGCAAGTTCTCTCCCCCGCAGCAGCGCATGTGCCTGACTGATCCACAGACACCCGCAAACGTGGGCCCCCTGGCTGGGGTTCAGCAAACATCAGGGTATCCAGCAGCCACAGCGGCTCCTGTTTCAGCTGAATTTTTTAGAGTCCAGGTGTACTGATCCTCCAGAAAGCAGCAGGACTCTCCTACTGTGGCAGGACCATTGTGTGATGCTCACACAGGAGTGCATTGCTGGCGTCTTTACTGTATCTGAGGTGACTAGTGGAATGGGTTGGTAGCTCCACTGTAGGCCATTCCCCTGCTCCCTGGCACAGGCTACCTTAATTATATTTCCTTTTATAATTTTTTTTTTTTTTTTTTTTTTTTTTTTTTTTTTTCTGGAGGGACTGTATCACCTCTGTGTGCTTCTCATTCTTTTGGAGTCTTTTTTCATTGCTGTATTTAGCAGCTGCCTTTTTCCCCACTGCCAGTAGAGTTACAGTGCATCAGCTCCCCAACTCAAGCTAGGAACCTAATTGTCAAAACACTGAACTAACCTGGGGTTTAACCAGGCTGCAGCAATAAGAACATGTCCCATCTACACTGAGGCTCTTAGCCTCCTATTTCGTTTACAGGTGTGATGTAGCTAGGACCGAAAGAGGTTGAAATCATGAAAGCCTTGGTTTATAACTTAGTATTTGAGTGGAGGAGGACAGATGTCTGTTCTACCAGTGACTTCTCTGCTAAGAGTGTGCCTTGAAGGGAGCTTGTTAAACAAGGGCTGGTGCAAGAGGACAGAATACAGAACACCCTTTTCTGCCCCACAAAACCCAGCTCTAAAATGCTGAAGGTCCTTCTTAGCTGCAGCCTATGCATGCATCAACATGTTGCCTTCATTATCTGATGCTCAGCCTGTGTTGCCAGCGCTTGCCGATGAGGCAGCCTCAGATGTATGCAAAGGAGTAGAAGACTCTTCAATAAGGGATTTTGGCCATTTGTGGAGCAAGTGTATATAAATCCGAGGAGCTGGGAGGGACCTTAACAGTGGGTTGGAAGAATTAACTGAGACTTTAGATGTCTCACCTACCAGTATTACCACAATCTCTGATTTCTTCAGAGCTGGTGGAAAGGTGTGTGGGAGAGGGGAGTTTTCAGCAAGGGATTCAGAGCAGGATGCAGTGTTTGGTGCCTGTGGCAGTAACGAAGGAGTTTGGTCGAGTTGGTGGGATTTGAGCTTTTTTTCCAGCTGTGTAGTGCTTTACTGTGCCATGCCCAGGAGGAATCTGCTGTCTCTGCGTCTGTAAATCAGCCAGAATCTCAATATTGCCCTTGACTCTTTGCTTACAGCTTTGTTGTGCTCCAGAAAAAGTGCTACATGAAGCACGAAGTGCCATTACTGCTCTCAGAGATGTTCTTGCGGTGCCTAAGCTGTCCCCCAGAAACCGCAATAGCCTTGGGGCTCTTCCATGCTGTCAGTGAGCCCGCGTCATAGGCAGCATTGGCAGCTGCATGCTCCAAAGCACGTACGTGCCTCTTTCTTTTTTCCCCTCTTCAGTGTCTGAAGAAGCCCTGTGTCACCATACAGCCGCTCACTTCTCCAGCAGCCCTTCTGGGATGACTGCCACGGTTACATGTGGCCTCGCAGGGGCTTGCTTTGGGGGAAGACCAAAGTGAATGCTGAGGACTTAGACCTCAGATGCACGTTAGAAAGAAGCTCTGCTCGCAAAGGTGGGCACCCCTGGACAGGGGGATGCAGCAATTTGGGAACCAGCCGGGAGTTGGTGGGAGGTCTGGAGTTGGTGGCCTCATCCCTGATTGTTTAGTCCTCCATGGGATCACAAATGGACTTGGCCTCATCGTTCTGTTTTTCCTGAACTGCTGACAACAATTGCATTGTTACGTGTCTAGTGTAGAGAAGAACAGGTCAAGGTGCTTGTTTGGCACCTAAAAGCATGTTTTTAATACCAGGAAAGAAATGCCAGAGATAACACTGAAATGTTGATACTCCACTCTCATTAGTGCCTTGATTTTCCTCCTTGTGAGATCCTCATCTGTAAACCTAGGAATTTTATCACTGTTTTTTCCAGAAATGTGCAGAAGGGTGATGAGGACAGGTAGCAATCACAAATGTATACCTCCAAACTGTAAGCTTGAAACACAGTCTGAAAGACAAAATATTACATCGCCAGGTTTGCTTTCAAGTGGGGAGCTGGATTGTGCCCCTCCGGCTGGTGGGCCGGCTGCGATGGGGACTGTGGGGCAGGCTGTGGGTGCCTGATGGGTGCTAGCTGCGCATCAGGCTGGTGATGAAGGATGCGCACTGGGGAACTGCACATTGGAAAATGCTCGTGGGGCTGGAAACCGGTTATTTTTCCTTTCTGACTCTTACCAGTTGATCTGGTAAGAGATTCATTCTCCCTGCAGAGCTGTCAAAGGGATGGCGTGTTTCCAGTGAGTAGTTTCATGGATTTACAGAGGTAAAGGAAGCCCTGGCCTGTAAGAGTCACCGTAGCGTTAGTGCCGGCAGTGAGAACAGCCCCAAGCCTGGCTGGGGTGGGGAGCAGACAGCAAACCTGCTTCCAGGAGGTAAGGTGGGCCCCTTGGCCCCGGCAGTGGGGGGACATGCCCGTGTGCGAGGGAGCAGGTACCAGCCTCTAACCTTTCCATGCTGGGACAAGGCAGCTGCCACAGCCTTCCAGGTGAGCCCTGGGGATGGGACATGGCAGGATGGGCACAAAACCACAGTTTGGGTTTTTTTCCTTCTGCTCCCAGCTCTTTTGTGAGCTTCCTGATGACCTTGGCCTCTGATCTCTACAGCTTCCACCGTGTCCCCAGGGCTGTTCTGAGTCCACCTGCACAACTGCGACAGCACCTACCTGTTACTTGCAATGTATTGTACCTGTGTTCAGTGGCTTCAGGCAGATGTTTGCAAAGATTTTTCTTTTTCTCTGGTGAAGTCTGTTCCCTGCCTTTCTCGACGGCAGCCGTTTCACAGTGAAATGCTGTTGTATAAATCAGCCAAGGACCTTCCCCTTCTCCAGCCAAGGACCTTCCACTTCTCCAGCAGTGGAGTCCAAGCTAGTCCCAGGTCCTCACGGCTGGTGGCAAACTCAGATCTCCTTGCTTGGAGAAGGGAAAGTGTCCCTCTGGGACAAGAGGGAAGGGGTTGGGATGAGACATTTGCAAACTTGTCTGAAAGCTGAAAGGAGGAATTAAATTTGTAAAAGAGGGAGGCAAAAATCATCAGCTCATTGGGCTTTGGCATTTGCCTGAGCTCACAGCAACATTACTTATGGCATGTTGCAGTACCAGGTCATTTCCTTGGAGGGGAGACAGAGCATTAAAGTTCCTGAGGGG